TTTTTTTCTTATAAAAGACTAAATAAAACAAAAATATTGGTGGTAATTTTTGACTGTGTAACTTTACAAACAGCACCTCATACCATGGCGTGGTTTATCCAGGGAGGGAAGAAGGAGTCGAGGGCGGCCGGGTACACCAGCTCTCTGTCAATGGCGTAGATCGTCCAGAAAAGCAAAACGACAAACTAAAACAAAAACAAGAAAACACAGAGCTGGTTTARAGAAAACATCTTTATTTTGTGGTGCAGACGTGGAATTAGGAAGGAGGGTTTTCTCACCATGCCGACAGGGAAAGCAAAGACGGAGAAGAGGAGGTCTTTCCACTTGAGCAGAGCGCTCCCCGTCTTCTCCTGCTGGAGGTCCGTCACCGCCGCCAGGCCGAAGAAGGTCATCTGTAACAGCTGGAGCATCAGCCGCACACGTCAGGATTTATCAAAGGGAAACTCAAATTACCCGTACATTCAGCTAAATCCTTAAGTCATTTTTTGAGGATTTGTGATTTTACCARGTATTTTCTAAAATCTCGAGAGGAGGTGTTTCTGCGCTCTAAAAATGAAGTGTTGATTTTACTCAACTGGGTTTAGTGAAACCAGTTTGGTTCAGTAAATTCAATAGTTTATTTCTTAGAGAATGTAAAAGTACTTGTACTTTCCTGATTTTTGTGAACAGTTTTATGATTTCTACTTAAGTACTTTTCTCATCAGTGAAATTTATTCTTACCAAAGTCGTTTTGTGTTAAGGTATTTTTACTTAGTTATTTTCCYAAGTACTTTATAGACCACTGGCATTGCACAAGGTTTAAAAGTAGCCGGCAAAATCAACTGTGTAAAATCCTCATTACCTCTGCCAAGGGCAAAGTAATGTTTTCGGTCGCATATGTCTGTCGTTCTGTCTGTGGACAACATTACTCAAAAACTTGTGGACGGATTGCCGTGACATTTGTATCACATGTGTGTACTGGGCCAAAGGAACACACCTTTAAATTTTGGTGATGTTCTGGATCATGATGCGAATACAGGAACTTTTTTCTTTTAACACTGAGATCGGCAAAGCTGTGATGCTTTCACAGGGCGTGGGTTGCAAAGTGTCCAGCAGGTGGCACTGTAGCATTGGTGTGCCCCTTTGTAACTCTCTTACAGGATGGGGGAAATTGGTCTTGGCAGAGGTTTGCACTCTCCGAGTGCTTCTAGTTTTGCTACTTTTATTGTTGCACAGTTGTACTGGGAAGTGGGAATTTCCTACTTAAATTTTTTTTATGAAAGATCTTTACAAGGATGACACATTTTCCAGTTTCCCAAGCTTTTTATTTCCTGAAACAAATCTTCCAAAGACTYATTAATTTTGTTATTTCCAAGTGCRACACAGTGCTTCTGCTCTCTTTCTCTTTGTACCCAGCCATGGGAACAACTTTTGTCCCTAAAACCCAATAAGGAATCAGTTAWATCCTTTATATATAAACAACTTATGTATTTAGATATCCTTTCAGTGACTAAAACAAGAAGAGCTTGGGAACAGGAGTTACATTTTCAAATGAACAATGGGAGGAAGCAATAATGTTCGTTACAGTATGCCTTGTGCCAGATCGCATCTTATTCAGTTTAAGGTATTATTTAGGGGTCATTATTCAGAATCCTGAGATTTATCCACATGGTAGATCAGTGTGAGAGGTGTCATGCCAGTCCATATAACCTAAGTCATTTGTTCTTTTCATGCCAGAAACTCCTTAGTTTTTGGAATTAGTACTCAGTTATTCTCTCCAAAGCTCTCAGTATCCATGGACCCTTTCTTAGCTATTGTTTGGCTTCCAATCAACACTTAACTAACTCCGCTCAGTCTGAAACATTGGCTGTGGTGGAACCTCAGAAATTGGCGTTGTTGAAGGGCAGCTCCAAGGACCGGAAGAGTGCCCGCAGCTGGTCGTCTCGGGAGATCCACTGGAAAATGGAGGAAGGTTTTTTTCCCTAACAAAGCTGACCTGTTTTTCTCTGCTGATCGTGTCCGGGGTTTTGTGATCTGTCCTTCCTTCGGCCGCTGTGGGCGATGTTTTGGGACTGGAGCTGAAAAAAGAACCTGTCTSTGGCAGAAAACACGGTGAGCTAATATTTTCATTAGCACCTTATGCTAAAAGCTACGGCTAATTTTTTTAGCCCACACACATTGAAATTGTAATTTGTTAGACGCTGGTCTGGTTTTCTGCGGTTGTTGAGTCTAGCCGAGGTAGATATCGGGAGCGTTTTCATTCCATATCGAGTCAAAACAGGGAGCTTAGCTTTCTGTTTTAATGTAGCCAAAGAGGACAGTGTTCGTCTTAGGTGAGTGTAGGCAGATTGAAAATGCTTAAACTGCTGAGGGAAAATGTAATTTTCCGTCTTGTTTCTATTGAGGAGACAGTTGTGGGCTGGAAGTCATTTCAAGTGACGGCCGTCCCGACATTTCGTTATAGAATGTCGCTAGGTAGTGCACTGGGCACGAGTTCAGCCAAAGAACGCGACCAGCGGGCTTTCCTTTTGAGCACAGGCCATGGTAAATAAATATGGCGCTGAAAGCCGTGAAAAAAGTGTCTGCGGGGATGTGGTCTGATAAGTTGGTTTCCCGGACGGTGGTTGTTTTCAGTTATAAAACAGCTCAGCYGCTTTCCRGGATCRCTTAKTGGAACGTGATTCAAAGCTTAAATCAAGAAGAATGACTGTTGTTAGCAGATCTTGTTCTGACTTTAATCATTCTGTCTGCAGATGAACAGCATGTCATGAAAACCCAGGTCATTAAAGGATGTCATGAATTACTAGCTTAAACATAAAAGTATTAGATCCACCACATTGGCCTTTACATCACTTTTAGCCAGACATTTTTTACTTATTTGGAAATCATCTAAGACACCTTCGATTTCTTTGTGGTTTCGAGAAATGTCATTTCTTAAATTGGAAAAGAGAGGCTCTACAAAACAAGGCAGCCATGGAAAATTTGATCGGCTCTTTTCTGAGCGATTGCAAAAGAACTGACCACTGTCATGATGTGTTTTTGCTTTAGTTTTCCAGTGTTTTCTGTTCCTGTGTTTTCTCTCYCCTGCTGTCCTGTCTCCAGCCCCGCCCACGCTCACCTGKTCCCTCTTGTGTCTCTCCAGGTGTTTCTGATTGTCTCTTAATTTGTTTGCTTTATATTCTGAGTCTTGTCTCCTGTCTTTGTCGGATCATTGTTCTGTCTTCCGTGTCCCTCCTGAGTCTTTGAGAGTTTTTTTGCTGCCACGACGGCTCCCTTTTTGTTCCTTAAATAAAACTTTTTGTTACATTTTGAAGTTTGCCTGCACCCTGGTTTTTTTCTCTGCCTGCAGTCCTTACAACCATCTGATTAATAGTCCCCCGCCCCCATTATTTTTATTATTATTATTTTGTTTTTCATTTTAATTTTATAATTTTTGTATGTGTGCCTGTGTGTATTTGTTTGAAAACTACAGATTACAGTTAAAATTGTAAAACAATAAGTTGAAAATTGACATGTGGTTTAATGTCTGCATAAAACAAAAAGAAAATATGGGAACAATTTATGTAATGATTGTAAATGTTCACTGAATGTTGTATTTCCCTAATAAACAAATTAAAAAAATGTTGTAATTTTAAACTGGAACCTTTAATGGAAATATCCTGTTGGAAAGTAGGAGAGTTAAGAATTCAAGATGGCAGCTACTCACTACTCAACAGTGAGTAAAACTCTCTTTTACTTTAAATTATTTCACATTCAGTCAGTTGTACACGTATTTTTCAGTGTTTATGAGAGGACATGTTAAAACGCTGTTTCTATGCAGGAAATATCAGGTAGAGCTCAGTTAGTGTTTGTTCGCCGCTCTCAGGAATGTGAAGTTTTAGTCAAAGTTAAACACGAAACAAACAATGAAGTTTATTACAACATGATGCTCATGTAGCCCTCAGTGAAAATGAGTTTGTTTTAGTGGAAAGTCATTTTACTCTTAGTTCTTTTCCAAGAAAGAAACTCAGTCGCCAAAAAACAAAGTTTAGTCTGGACTAAAAGACATTTAATCAAATATTAAAGGGTGTAATATTCCACCACAGCTTTGTTCTCACCAAATTTAAAAAAGTGAGGTACTTCCACGGTCCTCCGTAGACAAATATTCCTGTCGGCAGCTGGTCTCCATCCTTCGCTGCGAGATATTTAACAACCAAAGCGTACCAGCTGAATCCTGCGACGTGGTACACCGTCCTCAGGGTCCAGGTCATTTTTAAAAAATTAAATCAAATTTAAAACCAGGGAAAGATTCAAACTGTAGCTCTGGTTTCCTCCTCAAATGTGAGGCGCCCCGGGCAGCGAGGTCCTTTAAAGATTAGTGCGATCCAGCCCCAGCTTATTAAGRTGTTTGTGAGACGGAGGGACATTTTCAGACAAGAGGCCCTCTGTTTCTAATGAAACTCCAGAGATGTTTCTTTCATAACCAGTTCAGCGCAGCGGGGCGCTGGATCATAGGAGCTTAATCTGTTTCATAATGTTCCAGAGGAGAAGAACGTCAGAGTCCAATCGTTTAAATCTGTTACACAAACCAACAACTGATGGAGCTCTGATGACCCAGGTGTTGGGGTAAAGCTGTTGCATCACAGGCTTGGTTTGATAAAATATTGGGACAAAATGTTAAATTCATTATTTGGGTCGGAGATGAGCAATGTCATTTTTCACAGTCGGCCATTTTAGGGTTAGAGTCCACKAAATCAAACCTGAATCTGAAATGTAACTAGACATGGGTTTTTACGATGTTAAAACAAGTGTGCATTGCCATGTAGCATGGCTTTGCCTGCAGCAGTGGACTTGCAGAATGAAATGTGACCAAGTACAAATGTGTTTTCTAAACCAGCTTGTGCCTGTCAAGTCAGCAGGTGTTTGTAATTAAGGTAATTGTGTGACAATATGAAGTTTGTAGAGATTTTCTGTTAAAGTTACTGTTGCTGGGTTTTGAACCCTGATCTCCCACATGAAAGCCCATGGCATTAACCAAGAGACCTTAGAACGAGGCCAGTGTTTGGTTTGTATGTATGCAGAAAGTGGCCATATTGCCAATGTTATGGTTGTCACTAACAATAAAGCAATATTAGGACAATGTTATAGTAAAACATCAAAATACAATCATATTAGTATTGTAAACACTGAACTATTGAGATTAAATATTATTAAACTATGGTTCAGTACTGAGTAGATACAGCAGGGGGCAGTATTGGACTAATACAAGGTTCCATTGACTCTCATTATAAATTATTAAACATTAATATTTCAAAAACTAAGTTGTACAGGCACCAAAAGACATAGCCATCATTTGGCACAGGAGCTTTACAGATATAAATTACAATGGCAGCTCTAGGACAAAGTATGCTGGAGGAGAAGCGTGCCAAAGTGGAGATGACTTGGATGAGAAACGAATCACAATAGTGTGCATTGCTTTGGCAATGCACACGTAAAGGTCAAACAGTCAAATTATATGCTTTAAATTAATCTTAGTAGATCTATTAAATATGGAGGAGGATAAGGGCCACGGTGCATAAATGTATCTTTATTACCAGAAAAATGCCAAAACGCTAAAACCAAATCAGAATTCTGAGATCAAAGACAGAATTCTGAGGTCGAATTAGGAATTCTGAAATCAAAGACACATTTRTGAGATCAAWTTCAAATTTCTGAYATTAAAGTCAGAAYTCTAAAATCAAAAACTGAATTTTAAAATCATAGTATTTGAGGATCAAATTCGGAATTTTGAGATCAAAGTAAATTTTCTAAAATCAAATTCAGATTTCTAAAATCAAAAACAGAATTTTGCGATCAAAGGCAAAATTTTGAGACTGAATTAAAAATTCTGAGTTCAAAGACATAATTCTGAGTTCAAAGATATAATTATGAGATCAAATTCAGAATCCTGAGAACAAAGTCAAAATTCTAAAATCAAAAACAGAATTTTAAAATCAGTTAGAATTTGAGATCAAATTCAGAACTTTGAGATCAAAGCCAGAATTTTAAATCTGATTTCAGAAGTCCAGCTTTAATACTTCCCTAATATCTGAATTAGTGAATTAAAAGTGATCTTACCTGTGTTGTAGACGAGTGTCATCACTCTGTGGACTGGTGTGGACTCTGGACTCGACCCACTCTCCTCCAGTACAGAAGTACAAAACTGAAGTTTCACATCAAGCAGAAATAAATCCTTTAACTTTCTCTGTGCACCTGTCAGCTCTGTGCAAATCTGATTATTTACATACCTAAYCTCTGGTTTGAATATGAATCATACTGGATCCAAACCAGACCAGTCCTGAGCACAGAGTACATGTTGATTTGTGCAGTTGAGTATTTTGGCCTCAGGATGGTGCTGCAGGAAAAGCTGCAGTTTGATCAAATGAAGAACTCAAACTGCAGCATAGTTAGCATTACCCTTTAGATCATGACAGCTCATTTTAGCTAATATATGGCTGCTTTTAACTAGCCTTTTGGTACATTTAGCTGGTATTTTACCATGCATATCCAGCATTTAACTGTTTTCAGCTAGCWTTTGCCACTTTAAGTTGGCATTTTGCTACCTTTAGCCAGCATAGCTAATTTTAGCTATCATTTCAATATTTAAAAGAGGCATGCAAATATTTTTAGCAATTTTTTGCACTCTAAGCTGGTATTTTGTCACATTTAGCTACCCATTTTTTTTCATTTTTAGGCATCATCTTGCTATTTTCAGCTAGCATTTTGCTCATTTTAGTTAAAATTAGGCTTTCATTTTATTTTTAGAAGTCATTTAGCTAATTTTAGCTATCATTTTGATATTTTAAACAGGCATTTTACTATTAGCACTTTTTCCAACTTTCAGCTGTCATTTTGGTACTTTGAGCTAACCTTTAGCTACCATCTTTTACTTTAAGCAATCAGTTTGCTATTTTTTGTAATGTTAGTTGCTGACCTGTAAAAGTCACGATTAAAGTTAAATAATCTGACAGATTTTTTTTCCTCCAGTGGGGGAAAAACAGAATCAAAACAAATATTTATGAAATTTTATTTTCAGTTGATAAGTATCAGCAAAAGAGTCACGGTAAACTGACTTTCAGCACAATTCTTGGCTTTTTATGTGCAAGAGAAAAGAAAACAACCTAATATGTGATTTGGAGTTTGACCCTGAAACACAACCAGATTCAGCTAAAACCGACTCAAAACAGCATTTTTACATCAGTTCAGGATGAAAACTTCTCTCAATCTCAAGTTTGTTCGTCGTATTTCTGTTCAAAGATTTTAAAATGTATTTCATAACTCAAGCGTGTATTTGTTTAACAAATAAATGTATAAAACAAGCTTTTTTTTCTTTTTTGATGCAGCACATTATGATACAAACTACAGTAAAGTACAATTTTACAAAGTCTGGTTCCATCAGCTGAGCTCGAGGTCACAGTAACACACAAACAAGCCGCTGCACAGATTGCACTTTACCCCACGCAGTCGGTAAAAACACGCCGAGCCGTGTGCTTTTTATGGATTTTAAATGTGATGCAAACAGAAATCATTTACTTTGTGAATTAAAAAAGGAAATTTCTCAGCAAAAAAACAGTCTCAGGTTTCAGTACACAACATCCACRGTTTCTTTCTTGACTTTTCTGAATCCAAACGATTGTTTCTGTAAACTCAAACTGGGTAATACTTTCACGCCTAAAACATAAAACGACTATAAACTCTCTTCTCCTTCCTCATGCTGTCGAACTTCTCCAGAACTTTCTCTCTCTCAGGGTTSGGTTTAGCCTGTCCCCTGTTCGACGTCCTGAGCCTGCCGTCTTTCTCGTTCTTGGCGTTCTTGTCCTCCTTCTCGTCGTCCGTTACGGGGGGCTCCCGGTTGGTTTCGTTCCTGCTCTGGCAGTTGGCGGAGATCTTCCCGAGGAGCAGCTTGGTGTCGTCGCGGAGGTTGCTGCTCGAGAGCACGTTGGCCGTGGAGGAGTGGTAGCGGGAYGGATTGGGTTTGGCCTGCTTGGCGTCGGTCGGCTCCGAGTCGTTTTGGTTTATTTTGTCACAGATTACGGATTTCTTGCTTTGGTGCTCTGGATTTTCAGATTTTCTGTCGTCTGTGTCCACCGACCCGAGCTCTGCCGGCTCCAGGGTTTGGCTGTCAGAGGTTTTGTCCGTTTCAGAGGTTTTGTCGGTTAAATCAGCCTCTGCTGGGCCGCTCACAGACGGCACCRTCGCCTCCGTTTCTGCTCGAGTCTCACTGAAAACCGTGTTTAAACYCACAGCGGACACGTCGGGTTCTGTTCTTTCAGCTTCAGGGGGTAAAACGGATTGTTCTGGCTCAGGTGGTGCCGTTTCAGCAGGGCTGGGTGCATCARACTCGTGTGACGGAGCCGGTGTGTCCTCTATCTTTAGATGAACTTTCTCRTTGTCGTCTGGTTTGGAGCTGGAACTTTCCAATCCAGACTCAACGAGTAAACCTGGCTCTGATCCAAAGGTGTCGTCAGCTTTTATATCCTCAGATGATTCAGAAGCCTCTGCGGCAGACCCCTCTTTTCCTAATTCTGCTCCTTTAGCCGGAGCAGAACATTCCTCAGAGSTGGAGGAGTGAAGCGGGACTGGCTCAGAACCAGGAGGAATGTCTGACCCTACGAACGAGGAGGCGTGTGCCGACGGGTTCTCACATAAAGCAGAATCTAAACCAGGTTCAGGGTTTTGTGGAGTTTCCTGAGCTGACTGGGACTGGGAGGACCTCGATTGGGGAACAGAATCTAAACCAGTTTCTGCATCAGGTTCTGGTGAAGTTTCCCGAACTTTGGTTTCATCGACGTTAGAAAGTTCTGGTCTAACGTCAGAGGATGAGGAGTCTTCTGTGGGGGGATAAATGTTCTCAGACCCAGAATCCCGCAGAGGTTTATCAGACGTGTTTAGTTCTGATCCAGTGTTTTGCTCAGACGGCAGAAGAGAGGTGGTTTTAGTTTCCAAAGATGATGATTCCACTGAACTAKGAGGGTCTGAAACGGACCCSCCTGAGGTAGACTCTGGAGTTAGGCTTTGTGTTTTATCAGTACCAGWTGAAACATCAGTGGGGGCAGCAGATTCTTGTACTCTTGGAYTCTCAAACGACTTTGTGTCYGTTTCCTCTGAAATAAARAGTTTGGTTTCTTGGTCTCTGCAGGTTTGAGGGGTCTCGACCTCGACGAGGCGGTCTGTTGTAGTAGTCTTTTCATCTAAAGACGCAACTGACTCCGATGTTTCTGTAGACACCGTCGTACCCAAACTCTTTACCTCAGATATTAAATCATTCGTGTTTGAAGCCTCATTCGGATCCTCTAATAAAACCGAACCGACTTTAAGGTCAACTTGTTTCATCTCCGCCTTTTTCCTTTCCTTTTCAGCTAGAGCTGCCTTTCGTTTCGCCGCCAACTCTTTGAAATACGTGAACCTACTCTCGGTATCGCTCATGTCTTTGAAGGACGTAGCTGGCAAAGGTTTGGTTGGGGGTACTAATCGGTCAGTTTTGGGTAGCGCCGCTTCGGTTGACTTGGATCGAGCCAAAAACGGAGGACGTTTAACGGGAGAATCCGACACGGTTTGTTCCAATGATTTGATCTGAGATGCATCTGTTMCTGCAGAAACAGAACGGTCGTCCGACACCGTGTTCTCTGAAACTTTGGTTTGGGTGTTTGAAGAGTCCAACTCAGGCGCTTTCGTTTCTGAATGTACATTTAGCAACGACTCTTCTGCTTTCTCTTTGTCTGCTTTTGTAGCATTTCGTTTTCCTGCCAGCTCTTTAAAACACAAGAACCGCCTGTATGGGTTACTCGCGTCTACGTGTATCGGTTTGGTTGGTTCTACCAACGGATCGATCGTGTGTAGCTTAGGATCGAATGACATGGATAGAGCGAATGACGGTGAATCTTTAACAAAAGTCGCAGACTCTGTTTGCTCTAGTGAGGTCATTTGATTGAGACTCACCAAAGATTGTTTGTCTAACTCAGTTTTCTCTGAACCGGACTCGATATCAACCAAAGACTTGCGTCTTTCTGTGGATACGATGTTCTCTGAACTCTCCACAACAGGCTTTGTCTTTAACAAACCCTCAGAGATCAAAGAGTTGACGCTTTCCAGAGTTTTAGGATCTACTTGTGGCTTTATTTCTGATCTGTCTTTCGCGGCTTCGTCAGCTTTTTGTTTTGCTGCCAATTGTTTAAAAAACATAAATCTCTGATACGGATCGTTTACGTCTCCATATAATCGCGAAGGTATGGTCGGTTCTGCCGACTGATCGGTTTCTGGGAGCTTTGCTTCAGATGACATGGATCGAGGGAGCGACGGTGAAGGAGACTCTTTACTAAACTCGGTTTGTTCTTTAAGTTTCCCCTGAGATGCAGCCGATTCTGCAGGAACAGGGAGATCTGACGCCGACCGTTTGTCAAACTTTGTTTTCTCTGATTCAAAAGGTTTGGTTTTTTCCTTAGTAAAAGTATTCGAGGTATTAATATCGCTGCTAACCAAAGAGTTCTTCCTGCTGGTATTTCCACTGATATTCAAAGCTGACTCTGGCTCTCCTGCTGCAGCATTTTTTATTAAACCCTCAGATATCGAGGCTTCCCTGAGCGCCGAGGCTACGTTTTGCGGAGGTTCTTGCTTCTGGTTTTTTGAGTCCGCTTGCGGTTTAGTTTCTGCTTTTTCCTTTTTCTTTTCAGCCTTTGCGGCTTCAGCAGCCTTTCGTTTCGCCGCCAGCTCTTTAAAAAACATCAACCTCTGATCAGCGTCGCTCATGTCTACAAATAACGGCGCTGCGAGGAAAGGTTTGGTTGGTTGTAGCGGCTGATCAGTTTTGGGTAGCTCTGCTTCGGATGGCTTGGACTGAGCCGTCGATGGCGACTCGACAGCTGGCTGTTTTAACGACTCCTTCGCCTTGGGATTTTCTGAAGGATCCTTTGACTCCGCCTCCTTTAATGAATCTTTATCGTCTGCTTTGGACGTCTCCGTCGGTTTCATGAAGCGAATCCATTCAAGGGGTTCTCTTGGGGTGGATTTTCTTTGTCGTGAAACATGAGGAGCGAAGGACAGTTTAGTCTGTTCAGTTTTATTTTTCTCTTCGTCGGGTTGATCAGCTTCATGCTGCTGATCCAAGGAACTGAAGATCAGAGAAGACCTTAACCTGGAGCTCCTCTGTGCTGCAGCATTGTATTGCCTCCTGAAGGAGTCCTCCCTCGTAAGCAGAGCAACTTTTGGCTCCTCTGTCTTTTCTCCATCAGCTGACGATTCTGAAGGTGTTGGCGTTACTTTGATCTCTACTGGCGCCGGCACAGGTTCATCCAGAAAGAGCTTTGGTTTCTCTTGAGGAGTCCCTTTGGCGTAACTTGGCATCTGGCTAGGTCTGGGTATGGCAGGGGTCTTGAACTCTTTAAMGTAAGGCATTTTGGGAACCAATAAATCCATCCCTGGTGCAGTTGGCTGCACGGGTCTGGGTGGCTCATCGAAAGCATCCGGGCCCTGCTGCGAAACCGATGGCAAGCCCTCTTCTTCTGGATTCTCGTACGCGCTCAGGTACGAGCTGATCCTCCAGTTCCTCAGCCCCTGCTTCACAGCAGGGTCCTTGCGGCTAACGGCGGGATCTTGGAGAAACTGATTTTGCTCGGCCGAGTTTGAAGGGGTAGGGGAGGTCTGATAGGGGTACGGCTGGGCTAAACCTCGTCTCTTGGAACGGGGCGAGATATACGGCAAATCCACTGCTGGCRGGAACTTCTCAGAGCTTTGGTCAAAGTCTAGATTCCTGGTAGATGACAAATAGTTCAGGACTGGGTCGAAGTCCTGCGGGGGAACCTCCTGTGGCGGATAAGGTTCGGGGTATTGCTCTACTGGTGGATAGTCTTGATTCCAGAACCGGTCGTAGGCACTGTGGTCTGGTTCTGGTCCTGGGTACGGCTGTTGGCCTCTGTGGAAAACCTTCCCTTTAGGCTCAGGCTCTGGCATTCCCTGCATGAAAGGCATGGAGTATCTGCCATGAACCCCTTCGGCGTAGGAGTGACGTTTGAAGGCAGCATTTTCAGTCATTAACATCCGGGCGGGTCCCTGATCGAAACCCGGGTCCATGTGTGCCTGATGGGAACCAAACCTACTGTAGACATCAGCAGGGCCACGAAGAGAATCCTGCTTTTTCATAGCCATCATCCTCCAATCCCCATCCATTCGCTTGTCATACGAATGTCGTTCCCACTCGTCGGGATGACCGCTGTCCGGGGTCAAAAACTTCCTGGGGTCTCTGTGCGGCGCGGCGCTCTCGTTGAAATACTGTTTCTGCTGCAGGAAGTTTAAATCCTCCATCGGAGCGAGCACGTTCTCCACGATGAGGGGCTGGGACTGAGCAAACAGGATCCGAAACTCCTCGTCGAAGGTGGTGACGAGCTGTCCGAGGAAGAGGTGTGCCATGCAGCGGTGCAGCTTCTCGAAGGACCACATGAAGCTGGATGAAGACGACAGCAAACAGAAAACAAATATTTAAAACGTGTCACCAAGCAGATTGGGTCAAAACAAAAAGATTGTGAGAATCCTTTCCCTCAGTTTACCAGTCCTTTTTAATAAAAACATGAAGCTGAGATTTGTGCTCGTTAGGATTCTTTCTGCTTTAAAACATGCTGATGATGTGCCRACACTTGTTATATTAATCATCTCTGTACGAGTAAAGAATAAAATAAGCCGGCGCTTATTTCATCCTACATGTAAGTACAGGCCTGAATTACAGGAGTTTAAAAAAAGAGTCTCAGTTTAGCTACTTTTATTTCTTCTGTTTCACTACTTTTAGATTTTAGCTAGGCTTTTGCTATATTTAGCTAACATATTTACTTTTAGCTACTATTTCACTTGTTTTAGCTGGTGTTTTGCTCATTTTAACCGATCTTTAGCAATTACTAGTTTTAGATAGCTTTTTGTAACATTTAGCTTTTACCTCCTTTTTAACTACTCTTAGCTTTTAGCAAGTGTTTTCTACCTTTAAGGTACCCCTTTTCAAATTATCTTTTAACTAACATTTTTGCTACATTTACTTTTTAGCTAGCCTTATACTGTTTTATTTTAAGCTAGCATTTTATTACATTTAGCTATTACTTTGTCTTTTGCTACCCTTTAGCTTGACTTTTATCAATTTTTGGCTTTTAACCATCCATTTTCATTTTAACTAGACACTTGCTACTGTTAGCTAATTGATACTTTTAGCAACTGTTATGTTCATTTTAGCTTGTTTTTGTTACTTTTAGTTTTAGCAAGACGTGTTTCATTTATCTTCAACCTTGTCTTTAACTTATCTTAGCTTTCAGCTGGTGTTTTGCACATTTTGCTAGCACCTTTGTTTTTAACGAGCCTTTTGCTACTTTAATTTTTTAACTAGCAGGGTTATTACTACTTTTAGGTTGTTTTCCTAAACAAAGCTAGTCTTTTACTACTATTTGTTTTAGCTAGCATTTAATATTTTTAACTTTTACTTTATCTTTTACTAATTTTAGCTGTTGGCTAGTGTTTTGTATCTTTTAGCTTTTAACTAGCCATTTACCGTATAGTTAGTCTTTTACTACTTGTAGATAATCTTGAAACGTTTTCCTTTTAGCAAATGTTTTGCTAATATTAGCTAGTATTTTTGGTACTTTTAATTTTAGCTAACATTTTGTTACATTTAGTTAATATTTTGTCTTTTGCTRTTAKYTAGYRTTTTACACCTTTTAGCTTTTAAACAGCCTTTTGCTCCTTTTTCCTTTAGCTAGCCTTTAGCTTMTTTTAGCWTAAAGCTTGACTTTTGACACTTTTAACTAACCTTGGCACTTTTAGCATAAAGCTACCTGTTACTACATTTAGCTAGTGCTTTCCTCATTTTAACTAGCCTTTTGCTAYCTTTAGTTTAAGCTAGCATTTTGTTATATTTAGCTTTTGATTTGTCTTTTTCTAACCTTAGCTGTTAGCTAATTTTACATCTTTTAGCTAACCTTTWGCAACATTTAGCTTTAAACTAGTCTTTTTTGACATATACCTTTTAAATAGTCTTTTAGCTAATTTTAGCTCTCAACTTTTTCACTCACTCAGTTTTTTGTTACCTTTAGCTTTAGCTAGAATTTTATTTCATTTAGTTTCCACTTTATATTTTAATATCCTTACATTTTTATGCTAATGTTCATTTTTAGCTAGCCTTTTAGCTCTCAACTAGCCTTTTGCTAAAGTGACCCTTTTGCTATTTTAGGGTCTGTTTGAATATTTGAAGAAAAATCWAATTACAGATTGTTTTAGCTCAATATGAACAACTTTAGCTTCTAGATTCAGCAGGTGTCTGTSAGTCAATCTGAACCCCCACCTGTAATTTCCACTCAGCACGGCCCTGCAGTCCGTCAACAGGAAGCGATCCATCATCTGACCTTTGAAGGATCTGCCCGAGCGGCAGCGATATGAGATCCCAGACACGGTCCTCACACGTAAAAACTGCAAAAACACATTTTTAAATAATTAGAACAACGTGAGCAAAGAACCGGAAGCTGATGGATTAAGTTTTCCCATTCTGGCTACATGTTTGTTTTTATTAATTTCTGAAGCATAAATCTCCAGAACTGAAAGAGGGCGGAGTTTCTTTTCCCCATGACGGCGCGTAAACAAAGGGTTTGTTTATTTAAACACAGAACTGCCTCCATGCTAGCAGCTGTTGTACCTGAAACACTTCTGCTTTCCCTGAACGACACAAACGGAAAATAAATAAATAAATAAATCAGGTACTTTGAAATTCTGACGAGGAATCAAGAATGTGCTCGTCTCTTGGAGCGGTCCCACCCTGTCTGCAGCCGAGCTTTAACTTTCAAACATTCACAAACTTAACCCTAAAACTGCCTTTCAGCACCAAACCCCGAGTTAATCAGTAATGCATGTTTCATGTGTGGAAGAATGTCAAACATGTGGTGGAACAGCCGAAGAATAAAATTTATTGATTTTTTATTCTCAAACCTTTAAACTAACCGGTTGATTWAATTTCCTCCAACAACAAAAGACTCTTTAACAAAAGATTGACAAAAAGATAAAAGTAGTAAATGGGAAGCTAAACATAGCAAGATGGAAGCTAGAAACTAAAAGCAGTAAAAGATTAGCTTAAAAAGCAGCAAATCACAAGCTAAATGAAACCAAAGGTTAGCTAAAAGCAGCAAAACATCGGCTAAAAGCTTAATGTAGCAAAAGGCTACCGAGAATTTAGAAGTGACTAGTTAGTAGCTAGAAGCTAAAAAAATCAAAAGTTTGACTAATAGCTGAAAGTAGCAGCATAGTAGTAAGAAGCTAAAAGTGTAAAAGGTTAGCCTAAAATACAGTAGCACATGGCTAGCTAAATGAAACCAAAGGTTAGCTAAAAGCAGCTAAAAGCTAAAAGTAGCAGAAGACAAAGATGACTCTCAGCTCCTACCACGCAGAGCGCTCACCTGAAAGTTGTCCAGGTTGACCCTGCAGTTCGTCAC